TGTCTTAAAGATTGATACATGAATAAAAACACCAAGAAATGCGCTTAATATGTTTTTAAAACAGTGTGACTACCCCCAAAATGATGTCTATAAAATTTGCTATGTGTCTTAAATTTAATCTAACATAATCAGTGATAACTTATTGATTTTTTGCATACTAGTATATAAAGTGATTGTTTCATGTCGTTGTTGCCAATGACGGTACCTGTTTTGATGCCCTTTATATCATTATCTTCATTGACACCCACCTGCTCAGGTGTCTATAAAACAGACAGGTTGCTATAAATTTCACATGTTTCGGTTAATATTTCTTTTTTGATTCTTAACAAGTTTTACATCAGCTTTAAAAAAGCGTTTAATTTCAGGATAGTTTACTAATTCTTTACCATTCATTTTTATGCAGTATCTCGAATAGCTCTTATTTTCCAGCTTCCCACAACGAAAATATGTGTTGAAAAGTGGTCACATACATGTACACTGTTATCAATTCATTAAAGATTAAATAATGAGAAAAAGTCAAGCTTAATGTCATACACTTTCTATGTTTTATGTCATTATTTATTATTTATAACAGCCCTCGTAAATGATTATTCAATGCAATCCTAAAATCAAACAAGCCTTCATACTTAAAGAGAATATATAGGCTGCAGCATTATAATTTGGCTGAGAGCTGATATGTTATAGCAATTCCATTACCTATTGTAGCTGCAATCACGGATGTAATTATATCCATCATAGTAGTGATAACATGAACCTCCAACGTTTTCTGAAAGACAATGGGTATTGTATTATATCTCATTTCATGTCCAAAGTACCGGTATATGTTATGATAAAATGTATCAACTACTCTAACTTTTAAGAATTGAAATGCTTTGCAAAATTGATTCTTTTAATTTAATGGAAGTCTTATTTTTGTATTACTATAAAGCAAAATTTATTCCAAATCTTGTACATGTATATGTGTGGAGGATGCAACATACCCTTATCATCTGTAAATATAGTTTTTATTTCTCATCCCATACTCATGCTCTGCGTATGAGCAGTTCCTAACATAGTTTAAGTTATTGACAAACAAGTTCATGAAACAGGAATATAACTAGTCTCATCCTATATATGATTGATTGTTTTTGTTGAACGTCCCTCTCGAGCATTGTTCAGTCATATGGAGACAGCACCACTTGCCTGTAGATGTTTGCAAATTATGATCTATTCTAGGCACTCAGAGCCATTAGGCACTGAGGGATCTGATTTGTGTAAGCACCTACTGCCTAGGTCTATCAGTCTCATCCGAAGGACTACTCCCCACGTCCCACTGGGATTCGAAACTGCGACATGAGGATCAACTTCTTAATTCGCGGACGTCCATCCGTGTCCTTTGGTTGAAACAATGATAATGTCAGTAAATGCAATCTGTCATTAAGTCAAATGCTGACGATGTTCATTTTTCATTCTTATTGTTGTCCCATTATTTACACACTGAATTGTCGGTAGATTTATCCGTTCGTTCCCGATCTTAACAACGAGCTCAAGGTGGGTGTGAATGGTAGGCAGTGGATACTCACTCCTTTAAGTCCCCTGATTCCAACTCAAATGTTTTATAGCCCCTTCTTTGCTTTACTTCTGATTTGTATTATTCAAATAGACTTTTGAGCTTAAATAATGTCTTTCGTTTTCTCCTTATATTTCATTGCAGTGAAATTGAAAAATCAGATACAAGTACGTAGATATATTTTTTAAATAGTATGTTAACTTTGTTAAAATTGACTAAATTCATAGTTACGTTTTTTCCCGTTTTTGGTTAAAGTTATAGTAATTTTGAAATATCTTAGTCTAACAATGTATGTATACTTCTATAATCTATTACCTGGTTTCAGATTTTTAAGATACCTTTACATCAACATTGTCATTTCCATAACTAAAGCTTCTGAATTTATTTAACTATTTTTTTTTTTAATGTGTGAGTTTTTTTTTTCAGAGTAGGGAAATTGAAAAATACAAAGGTCCTTTTTTAGAAATAATCAATCTTTACATTTAAAGACAAAATTACTGTCAGTATCTCAACAGATACTCACTGTATACTGTAGTTAAAATCAAAATACTTAGTATCGATGTAAATTCCATTGCGTTTTGCACTAATTGATGCGTATACAAAAATTTTGCCTTAAATGCACTTATCGAATAAATAACTGTCCTGCGCTAACTTTTATATATCATACTAGCATTGTGGCAACTTTTATCTACACGGAAGAAAAAGAAGCTTGTTTTAAAATATTACATAAGTATTTTTAAAAAAAGAACCTTGGTTCGAAAGGATTCATTTAAAAAAGTTTTTTATATTTGAACGATTTACATTTAAGATTAATAAGACAGTGGTTGGTGATAACATTGTGTGAATGTGCGTTTCACCATTTAAATCGATAATGAATTTAAATAAAGCTTAGGAAAAGATAACGAAAAGTGTACAATCTCACAGATCCAGAAAGCAAATTGAAATTTATTTCTTATGAAAGTTCTGCCGAGGAGTTGAATACGAAGTGGAACACCAGAATGGACTACAAATTTTAGATATATTTGAAAGTATCGCTTTAGTCAATTTAAAGTAAAATGTAAACGTGAACAACCTATCTTTACGTTTTCAGAAATGTGAAAGTGACGATTGATTAATTGATTGATTGTATATTGTGTAACGTTCCACTCGAGAATTTTTCAACGCTTGCCGAATGAGAGCTGCAAATTTTTTCCTATACTTGGCACTTAGTGCCATTGAGCAGGGAGGAGTATTTTTGTACCAACACCTAATTCTACACGGGACCTTGATTTACACAGTCTCATCCGAGAAATAGTCAATGGTCACAAAAACTTCTAGAGGAAGGACAAGGAGATAACAAACAGTATCCAATATCAAAGTCAATAAAACAATACAAAATAGGAGCAGAGCAAACACAGACCCCCGAAACATCAGAGGTGGGATCAGGTACCATGGAGGAGTGAGCATCCCCTGTTGACCGGTCACATCCGCCGTGTGCTCCTTGTCATGATCGGGAAATAACGGAAAAAGTCAATTCAGTGCATAAATAACTTGTTATCCACGTAGTTTACTCACGTTTCACTTTCATAACATGATACTATTTGGAATTGCCTTTTAGTTATTTTTAAAAGGTTTAACATTCCAGTCAGAGGAAATTAATTTGATTTATCGAACATTTACTGGATTCCAAATTTATTTTCAAAAACTCCAGCAAAGATATGTTGTACTGTCTAGTAAATGTTCTACCAAGTTATCTTTTTTTTTTCTTCTCTTCAAAATATAAACTGTTCTAAATGCTAAACTAAAGACGGGTTGCATGTGTCTCAGCATATTTAACATGAGTGATGTCAATCAAATTGAGATTCTTAAAACCATCCAAATATTTCTTTTTATTTTTTTTTTTTGAATCTCAAAATATTTCAAAAACACCAATAGTAACAACGCATAATATGATGTATCTATGCAGATAGTGTAGTTTGGAATCTTGTTGTATCAGATGAGCGCTTATTTTCCGTTACTGTTCTAGCAGTGCGTTTGTGTTTTGATACAAATAAAGCATATTTATCCTCTACAGGTAAAATTGCTTTATATTTTTATCGATGTTTAAAATAATTTTGTTTTGATTGCACAGATAAGTTGTCTAGTTAAACAAATGCAAAGATGTAGACGTGTCCTGTATTGATTTAATTAATCATCAGGTAATACTGAGTAGAAGCAATATAGAAATGCTAACAAATAACAAAATCACTAGATAGATCAGTTCCATAGATTTTGATTTTTTTTTTTTTGATTTTTTGATGTCCAGATATACATTGAACAACGTCAGTAACTATGGCGGATAAATTAAAGTTGCGATAATTACATACATGAAAAAAATGTATGCATCGATTGTACTTTATATTTGGATGTCTCTAATAACTAATTGTTTTAGATCAACAATCCACAACAAATATCCACTTATTGATACATGTAATTTGACATTTATGCAGGAACAAAGAACTTCCACATATACTAAGTATGTCCCATTACGAATATTGTAAGACATAGCCATTTCATGCAAAATTTGGAGGGGACTGCAGTACTGCTTGCAACCATGTTAACACAAGAAGAAAAGGAAAGGAGTATAAAAATTCAACTGTATGATTACCTTTTAATTTAATGTAAAAAGAAATAAAATTAATAATTACACTTCTATTTTAGCGGAGCAAGTACTCTAAAATGGAAATGTGCGAAGAACAAGGTTTACTTTTGCCGAACTTGGTCCTGTAAATTTCTGAAAAAAACTGAAACTATATAGTTTTATTTAACAGTGCATTGAATATCACTTAAATCTTTGGTGATTGTGTATCTATCAAAAAAGACGTACTTTTCGTACTAGTCAATGCATTATGACATCACGAAATGCGTCCATTTCCTCATAATCTGAAAAAGTCTACCAAGACAGCAAATTTTTAAAGCTATTTTTTTAATATTTATTACAGAGAGCAACCTCTGATCTAAAATATGCAGCTAGTAAATGATAGAACTGTTTCTGAGGATTAAAAGAAATATTTTAGTTTTTAGATCCGAGAGTGCGCTCATATTATTTTTTTTCACTAAAAGTATTCAATTATCCTTGTTTACCTACAAATTTAAAAACATTGTAATTTCATAAAGCCAGTTTTCCAAGGTCTGGACTTGTAGAAGAAATTTTTTTTATTGAATATGAAAGTCTCTTTTTTATTTTAAATGGCAAATCAATTGTTGATCAATCAAGCGGTATATCTACAGGACAATTTTATGCATAAAGTGAACCAACCTCTTTGTCCAAAAAAAGGTAGCAAAAAAAAAAAGAATAATCAATTGTTTTTGTGATTATTGATTACCTATATCATATATAACTTTAAGAAATTTAAATACATGCACGTACAATGAAAAAATACAAAAGATAATTTAAATCCATCTTTTATGAAAAAAACAATAGGTTTTAAAACACAAAGTTAAAAATTGCAGCAAGCAAAATAGTATTTATCACTGATCATATCCGGTGTGCATGCGCAATGTATGGGAGCCACCATGAGATGCCATTGGGTAATTTTGTTGATTTGGATTCTGCATCACTTGATTTGAAAATTCGCCTGTAACGGTGAAAAAAAGGTCTGTTATGTACTTTGTTCTTGCAGGATGTTAAAATCAGTCTTTTGTTTAATTATTGAATACTATTATCGCTTTCACGCTCATCATATCTACATTCACTGATTTTTTTCCTTTATTTCTTAAGAAAACCCATTGCGTTAATCACTGCATGAACTACATTATGCATGTCGCCTTTACAAATTTCTTGATCAGTAACTGTTCCAAAAAAGAAACGTATGAAGACGTTCACATCATTAATACAATAATTAATCTTTTTAATCCTACTTTAACTGATTATTTAAAAAGAAATAAATATCAACAATAAAATGTCTTTCTTTATTTGTTATTACTGGAATTAACAGTCGCAGCTATTGCAGAAATTATTTACATAACCTGCTTACGCGGTTTATGTATTTTTTCTGCAACAGCTGCTTCCAATAATTCCAGTAATAACAAACAAAAAAGCATTTTATTGTTTAATTATACCGGTATCCTTATCGCTTATCTACTTGGACACGGGCATTGTATTAATAGTAAAATAGGAACAAATAGAGCTTAAATGTTGAGCTTTCCATTATTTTTCTCGATTTTATTTTATTATATATGTTAGACTCTGAAGTCTGATGGTCTCCTCAAATTAACTCTGATGGTATTCGCCAAACCCTGATAGTTTGTTGCCTGCACGATGGTCACGATAGCTCGTTTCCTATGAAACGAGCTGCGCTATCAAAGTGCGATGGACCCGCCAAAGTCCGATGGTGAGGAGAAACAGTTAACGTTTAAGACGCCACGATATTCTGACGTCAATATCTAAAGCCGTTGTCCTGTATTCAAAAGTCGTCATTTCTGAATTCGTACTACCATTCAATTTTAATGATATTGCTTGCACCTTTCAGAGATATAAGGATTAGTTCTCGCACGCCACTCGACTGATATGGTTTAGTTCTTGCTTTGCACCAACCCGAGAGACATAGAGATAGTCCTCGCACACTAATCGAGAAATTAGGGTTAGTCTCGCATCCACCTAAAATATCCTTGATTATATAGTTGCTTCACACTTTTTGAACAATCAAGGTTAGTTTCGCACCTATCTGAGAGATTTTAGGGTTAGTTTTTGCATAATGATATTTATTTTTCATTATCAATTTTAAGACCTTGGCCTGGTTGGTGCATTAGTACTATGACGTCAAAAACGTTATTTGTTTTCTGCACCTATCAGGCATGTCAGACCATCGAGGATTGGCGCAAACCTTCGGACTTTGGCGGGTCCATCGGACTTTGGAGATCCATCGCACTTTGAGGTCCTACATATACATATACCTGTTCCACCAGATACCACGCTAACATTGGATGGATTCTGGATTGTTCCGGGTGTCTTTGAACCTTCGGAACTTTTCCTGATTCTCCAACAACAGAATGCAATACAGTAAATGATGAGGGCGAGGCATGTAAGAGAACCAATCACCGCCCCCGCTATTGCACCCGCAGACCTTGAGATGTAATTAATGAAAAATACTATTTAGATACTTTTTGAAATACAACGTAGGGTATTTATTATTAATTTATAAATTTATAAATTAAGTATTTATAATTAATTTATAAATTTATAAATCAATGAATTTACATTTTCAATATAGGAGATGCAATGTTTCTATGCAGTTAGGTACTGTATCATATTCAGTTTTCAATATAGATTTTGCATAACCATGCTTTCCTTGTATTAAAATATTCGATTCTTTATTGTTTCTCTCGGGGAATCAGATATCGAAGTGGGAGGATTTTTAAAGGGTTATAGTATAATGAATGAGTTGTAAAAATCTTACAAGCTGTAGTACTCATGACAGGTATAGATTTGTGTTCCGCTGCCAGAAAATGTGTAAGTACACGCTGCATCGGCATTACCTACAAACATAGAAATGGAAAAATATATTTTCCATTAAAAAGATATTTTTTATGAAACTTAATGAAGATTCAAATTCTAGTTCACATTAATGTGTACAAGTACAAATATAGCTCCAAGCACCATATTATTATTATGATTTAATCATATTGCAAGCTTAAGATATAACAGGTCTCTTTTGAAGAAATAAATTACTAATTGTTAAATACCTATTATGTATACAATAATCCCAAACATGCACAAAATGTTCCTCGCAGCCATTTTTGAAATTATCTCAAATTAGAATTCTCTCCTTTGTGTTTATGGCTAAATAAACAGTTTAATTAGGGCATTTGATTTAAAAACAATGGTAAACGTTTACGTTTAGAGTCCTAATGAATGGTTTTTAAATTGTTTTGAAAAGATTTGCGATAAATCAACTAAGATAAACAGCTCTAGTTATGTTATTTAACAATGTTCTTCCTTGTAAAACATTACAATACACACTGTACTGTAGAATCACGTTTGCAAGCATTTAATGTACATTCATTGATATTTTTACCTACGTTTTGTTCAATTTAGTGGTAATATACTATATATTTTCCCTTTAAAAATATGCGTGGATTTATATCATAGACTCTTAATTTTAAAAACACTTTAACCAAAAAAAAAATACAAAATTATTTAGACTAATTAGCGCGTGCACAAATTATAATATGAATGCATTCTTCAAAAATTGCATACATACCTTCTTTTTCCATTTTTGTTTTATGTTTTAATGCGGATGCCTTTTCCATTTTTAGCAGAATATGAACACGAAATAATAAACATTTAAGGAATGAAGCTTATTTCAAATTTTGTTATACGAAATAGCATAACTTGGGGCAGTTAAAGTTTTATTAAAAGGCATAAACTGCCCCAAGTTATGTTATATCGTATGACATGGATTAAAATAAGCTTTCTTAAAATTTATTTCAATGAAGACAATGAGACATTTTTTCTCCGGAAAAAGGCTTCAAATTTTGCCTATTTTAAAAGTAACGCCAAGCGGAGTAATATGTTTTTGACGTAACTCATTGTGACGTAGGCATGTTATGTTATACAAAATGGATTAAATCTTTTACCCAATCAAATGACGTTTTACAACTAAAATTAAATCATTCAAACCCTGAAACGTTCCATTAGCTTATTCCCCCAAGAAAGTATAATTATGTTTGATTATACTGTGTATTGGCTTTCAGATACACTTTCATAGAGATTGAATATTTAAACGCTAGTAATTTTATAAATTATGAAATTATAAAAAAAACAGAAATTAATGATTGATATTTCGATATCAAAATTTCACAGATTTTGAGTTTTATTCCCTTACAAAATCTCATTAAAAGTTACGCTTAGTGCAAGATAGTGATATTCTACCGAGTAAATAGTTAACAATTCATGCTCACTAATAATGCAAAGATTGATAGCAGGCCATATCATTTATAAATTCATTTCTTAAAATCGTTGACTGAATTTCAGCAGTACAAATATTTAAGTCAATGTACAAAAGAAAAAAATGCGCGAAATTGAGGCATATGTAGACTGTATTTTCTCAGAGTTTTGGTGTTATAGTTTCATAGTCCGTATCATTTACTATCGTACAATTACCAATCATGAACTCGGGATAAAAGTCCCTGGAGACTCTGGGTTGTATTGATCCGTGGCCTGCAGCATCCTGGAGATCGGGGAGTCTGACTCAGTAGCTGTGTCAGTGTGGAGTCCTACTGAGAGAGCTAGGTACTGAGATCCACGAGGTGAGTACTATTCTGTGTACACACTTCAAATGCGTAGCTGTTTAAACGTTTTGTGTTTAATTTTATAATACATGTATGTTTATTTTTATAACTTTTTGAAAGCTTCTTCTTTTTAGGTTTAGAGTTGCTCGTCTTTATATTTGATAATGTTCCCCTATGGTGCATAGAAAAGTCACAAATCTCTCTGAAAATAATGAACTATTGAGTTCTTTTTTGTGTGTTACATGTCTTACGGAATCTATGCATTTGTTAGGTAAAATGATTTGTTAGGTATAAACTGCAATAGGCGTTCCAATTAACTGATTCTTGGATTACAGTTAAGAAATAGGGCACAAAGGAATTGAATGTCATTAATTTGCTAAGTGAATTAATTCATGTTTACATTTTTTTATTCTGATATTAAAGGACAATAAACTTCAATTGCAGGAAAGTGTAACACTTAAGAATGCTGTCATATTCCACATACACTACACAATGTCATGTATCATTGAAACGGGTGCTGAGAAAAAATGATCTCTTTACAAATGTAAAACTCTCTGCAATCGATGCAAATGTGAGTTGCATCTAAACTGGTAACTCTTACGAAAATTGGAATCAATAATTCCTTGGCTCAAATCTGCCATGCATTTTATATGATATTGTACACTTCTACTGTGGAAAAAGTGTATACCCTTACAATTATCAATACAAATACATTAAAACATCAAATCAATAGCAGTATTGAGAAGACTGCTATCGTCATATCACTGCAAATACAATATGTATGTTTCGTACTATATGTTGCATGCAGCAGAACTTGGATAGTAAGTAACTCGGTTATCGGATGAATTATTTATCAACAATAAATCATCTCTTACCGATGAATTCATTCTGAAGGGAAATCAAGAATATGGATGCAGACAAGAATGTCGTGCATTCCTCACTATTTTTGATCATGTACATATACTTAAAATCGGTATAGTCTCGCATACTAAATATCTATGTAGTAATGATCATGAAAATAAAAAATAAAAAGCTTGAAAATTTTCTCACAATTCTAAGAATACTAATAGACAGTAACAAATCTGTACATTAAATTCAACGCAAGTTTTTAAAACAGTTGAGGGATTTACTTTGTTCAAAATTTCTTCTGCAATACAACAGGTTGGAAAGTGATTTATATAAACAATTTCTATTTGGTACCAATATTTAAACGCACTTTTCTTCAGAACATAACTCAGATTATTTTTTTTTTCTTCAGAAAAAGTCAGAAACAAGGCAACATCATTTCATTATAATTTTTTTAAAGGTCAGGAAAAGAATATTTATGGGATCCCTATCTATGTGTTTAGAAAACTATGAAGTCCAAAGTCTCTTTAGAGGAAAAATGAAATCCAGAAGCAAAAATATTTTTTTTATGATCAGAAAAATTTGAATTTTTTCGAGAATCTTCATCAAATGATGAAAAGGGATATTTTTGTATGGAAAAAAAAATCCAGAACTGTAACAATGACAAATAAAAAAACTTCATCCGTGTGAAAATAATTTCAGGATTTGTAAGATTTTTTTCTGATTTTGGGAGCACATAATTTCGAATTTAAATCGCTTGCGTATAGAGCATTTGCTGAACCTTGTATATATTAACAATATTGAATGGTTCTAAGGATGTCAATTAATAGGTAAAGGTGATGAAAATCCATGAAAATCGGTTCCCACAACCAGTGGTGATTCCGGAGTACCAGTAACAACTCACCTTCTATTTTTCCAGATTTCTGACCGTATTGTGCAGTTTGCAGAGATGACAAACCCTTGCTACATTGCGGATTATGTTGTCAAGATTTCGTTTCTTCTGTTTGTACCTGTTGTTACCCTAAATAAAACAATAAGTAAGTTTGAAACACAGGCACTTGTTTCGGAAATAAATTTTAAACCCATGGTATAATAATAACTATTATAAAAATTATTATGCAATGGGTTAAAAAATTATTTTCGAAACAAGTGCCTGTGGTTTGAACATATTCCACGACATGATTGATAAAAATCATTTTTCTTTGTCTAAAATTCCTTATCTTACTTACATGTAGTCTCTCTTTATCATTTTACTGTTCATTTTCAGAATGCAAAATTATCCAATGCATTTCTTTCTTGACATTGGATCACCGTGAGATTTTGAAAGCTAAAATTCAAAGACAAATCTACTTAAAGTCTCAATTATTTTTGAATTTCTTTTTCTTTTCTCTCATCACCATCAATAATAAATTTTGTGTCCTCGCTTCTAGTACATTTGGACACATCAGAGGATAGAAACTGCGGAGGGATATACAACATCTCGTCTGAAAACGAGATCAGCTTAGTAGCAAGTGGAAGACTCCAGGGTGGCACATGCGCGGTGACTTTTCGTATGGATAATCATGAGAGTTTGAAGTGTGGAAAAATTTGTATTAAGATGACAATTTCTCTGCTTCAGACTTGTGATATGAAAATGTTTTTCGTACCTGTAGTATTTGACAAATCAAAAGTCGAAGCTCCCAAGGTAAGAATACGTTTTATGTCAATAAAGTTACAAGTATAGATTTTGCGATGGAATTCTAACCTAGGTAAAAGAAAACTTTATGCCAGGGTGAAAATTATCTTTAGACACTGTAGCATTATGGTTAATATTTTATGCAAATGTACAATTTAAGGCGCCAGATTTTCTGCTTAAGTTAGGAATGATATAGTTCCCTTATTTCCAGCACTGGACAATCAGCTACCTTTCGTTCCCTAATTCTTTTACCAACCTGTATATTTCATCTACTTCCCAACCCTTTATAATCGTCTATACAGAATAAAAAAAATAGTTTTTAATTTATTTGTCAGATGACAGAGCAGTGTGAGACACTAGTACCGAAATAAAAATTGGTCTCAGCATTAAGCTTTAGTATGAGCAAAATTTTAGTCCTTGGGTCAATAATATACATTCAAACATTACAAAAGCAAGAAGTCTAGCTGCCATTTATTAGAGATAATATGTGCAGTGTTGATTTCAGAGCTATGATTGCCGCTCGCCTTTCCCTGACGTCTGGTGTCCTTCGGCTGACGTTTTATACGTCCTGGTGACGGAGAGCAATCGGTATCCCTGGACAACAAAAAATCACTACAACTTTGAGATCGACGTCACGCCACAGTGCGTCATCAAGACAGACAACACGAAAGAAAGAGAAGCTAAAATTTGTAAGATATATTGTGGTACATAAGAAAAATTGGTAGGGAGCCTTTGATACTCATTTAAGCATAAGAAAAACTATCATTTGCTACATTTGCAGTCTTTGTCTGCTTCCTTTAGGGCATTAGAATACAATAGTATATGAGCTCCCTTATTATCTTTTTTCATACTGATTGTTAGAACAATATTATACACACTGAGCTGTCCACGGATTTTCCCGTTATTTCCCGATCATGACAAGGAGCACACGGCGAATGTGCTCGGTCGGCACGAGATGTTTCCTTCTCCATGGCACCTGGCCTGATCCCACCTCTGACGTTTTGGACGTTCATGGTTGCTCCGCTTCTATTTTGTAATGTTTAAAGGACTTTTGAGCTCGAATAATGTTCGTTATATCCACATTTTTCATTTCTTCATCTCCTCTCCTTCATAAATGATTGTTTACATGTAAAACCACCTCGATCCAATAAGTAAAAGTAGTCTCTCTTCTCCTTCTCAAAGAACAGGTTTCAGTTCCCTGTATTTATCACTCTCTTCCTCGAGAATCTAATTTCAGAGAGAACTTTCACCTGTTCTCGAATTGGTCCATAATAAGCTTTTTACAATGTCATTGTGTACTAAATGCTTCTGTTTCATTACAAATATAATCTAGAGCTGCCATTTATTTTCCCCTAAGCCAATATAGCTTTAATGATTTTCTTTTCTATTTTTTCTTAATTAATCAAGCTTACAAGTACAATGAGAAGAAGAGTGCAAGAGAAAAGTGGATCTACGTAGAGGGCGTTATTGTCAGTATTTGCCTCGCTTCCATTTTCCTGGTGGCTCTAATTGTCTTGTACTGTTACTACAAAGCTCAGAAGGAAAGC